GATTTTTTTGGGAATTTTTTAGGATTTTTGGGGGGATTTTTGAAGGTTTTTTGGAAGGTTTTTTTGGGCGATATTTCAGGTTATTTTGGGCAGGTGGCAGCACCTTTGTGTCACCTGGGAGGGTTTGGGGTAATTCTGGTTTATTTTGGTTTATTTTGGGCTATTTTGGTTTATTTTGGTTTAATTTGGTTTATTTTGGTTTATTTTGGGACATTTCGGTGCCGTTTTTTGGGACATTTCGGGATTTTCTCTCCCCCCAGGCCGTGCCGCTGTCGCTGTCCCCCGCCCCGGGCAGGTGGCAGCACCTTTGTGTCACCTGGGCGGCCTCGGGGGGCACCTGGAGGAGCTTCCAGGACGGGACCCCCCGCGGGAGGGGGGAGGGGCTGGCCCCGGGCCACGCCCTGCGGCCACACGGGGTCCTGGTGCTGGGCCAGGAACAGGTGAGGACACACCTGCGACAGGTGAGACGGGTGGGACAGGTGGGACAGGTGGGGGGGGGACACCTGGGACAGGTGGGACAGGTGTGTCTGAATGAGCTCAGGAGTGCCCAGGTGAGTTACCTGTGTGGCTGTGGCTGTGTTCAGGTGTGTTACCTGCGCCCAGGTGTGTTACCTGTGCCCAGGTGAGTTACCTGTGTGGCTGTGGCTGTGCCCAGGTGAGTTCCCTGTGCCCAGGTGTGTTACCTGTGCCCAGGTGTGTTACCTGTGTGTGCCCAGGTGAGTTACCTGTGTGGCTGTGGCTGTGTTCAGGTGTGTTACCTGTGCCCAGGTGAGTTCCCTGTGCCCAGGTGAGTTACCTGTGCCCAGGTGTGTTACCTGTGTGTTCCAGGACGCCCTCGGGGGCCGTTTCGATGCCACCCAGGCCTTCGTGGGGGAATTGGCCGAGCTGCACCTGTGGAGCCGCGCCCTGGCCCCGCCCGAGGTGGCGGCGCTGGCCAGGTGTGGCTCACCTGAGCGGGGTGACCTGCTGGCCTGGGCCCAGGCGGGGCTGGAGCTGCACGGGGGGGTGACCACGCTGCCCTTCGACCCCTGCACCTGAAAACTCACCTGAGACTCACCTGGACACTCACCTGAGACACCCCAAACTCACCTGAGACTCACCTGAGACACCCCAAAATCACCTGGACACTCACCTGAGGGGGGGGTGACCACGCTGCCCTTCGACCCCTGCACCTGAAAACTCACCTGAGACTCACCTGGACACTCACCTGAGACACCCCAAACTCACCTGGACACTCACCTGAGGGGGGGGGTGACCACGCTGCCCTTCGACCCCTGCACCTGAGACTCACCTGAGAGCACCTGGACACTCACCTGGGACATCCTGAAAGTCACCTGAGAGACCCCAAGCTCACCTGGGAACACCTGGGACACCCCAAAAATCACCTGGGAGACCCCGACACTCACCTGAGGAGCACCTGGAACCCCCCCCCTCCAAAATCACCTGGGAAGCACCTGAGAGCAAAAAACCACACCTGGAAACCCCCCCCAAAAAAACCACCTGGGGACCCCAAAAATTCCCCAAAACCACCGGGAATTCCCCCAAAAATTGGCCAAAAAAAACCCCAAAAAAACCAAAAAAAAACCCAAAATCCCCGAAATTCCCAAATTCCCCCAAAATTCCCCCAAATCGGCTCCTCCCCCCCCCACGTCCCAACCCCTCCCAAATTCCCCAAAAAAACCAAAAATTCCCGAATTTCTCTCGAGGTCTCCGGATTTTATTGGGGCCAT